TGCAGAGTCTGAGAGACGGAGCTGGTCAATTTCAAACTGACAAGATGCTAATGGAATACAATTGTACTTTGTTATAGATGTGTAGGTCCTGGATGATTGGTTGTTTAGCTCCTCTTGTGAAAATTTAACGGACTGATACTCTGCATCCACTCTGGGATCTAGACTGGTGCTCTTCATGCTATAAGCTGCATTTTCCAGGGCTTTTCTGAACCTTGTCTCCTGCTCACTGGAAAAAGCTTCGTGCTGGTCAAACCTGGGTTTGTGCACTGGGTCAGAAAGACAGAAGCGGTCTGGTGTTTTTAGAAGACGGTCTCGTGTCTCCAGCATGCCTCCTGGGCCACAGGTCTTGTACAAACCCTGCAAGGCGAGGCCTCCTGATGCGGACGACAGAATCTCTTCATCGGGCAGCTTTTCTGGATTCAAAACCAATGACTCCATGACTTGTAATTGATCACTTAAGTGATGTGTCAGGTCTCTTAAATGCATCCAGTTTGGAATCCAGTGCTTTATGGGTAAATCTAACGCTGCCTGGAGCTGCTGTAAGGAAGCCTGCACTGTGTTGTCTTTAACATTTTTACCTTGGGATCGGTATGTGTTCAAATTTTCAAGGGCCAGTTTTGCCTCAGTTAACTGAGTTTGCAAATCCTGCATCTGTCTCTGCTGTACTTCACTGAATCGGTTCTGTGTCTTCTCCGTTTTTACACTGGACATGTTCTGTGTAGAGAGTCCTGACTCCCAGTCAATTTTATGATGCTCTTTCTTGTAGCTGTAGTCAACAGATACGTTTTGATTTCCTTTGGTGATTTCCTTCAAAATGAATAACACATTGATTAGTATGTTTAATAAGACGGGGTTTCACTATGTACTTCTTTCATTAAAATAATTACAGGCAAGATAATTAAAAAATCTAAACCAACTGAGTTTTCACATTATGCACATTCACTCATTATGAATTAACTTGCATATGTAGAATTTACTAATTGTAAGACACACAATCACATTTCAATATAACAGGCCCAATCACAGTTTTAAAATGAATACATCATCCCTGGAACTGAAGGCAGAAGTGCTTGGTGATGTTCTTTATAGTATGAGACAACCAAGGAAAGCATTTTAGGTTGCAGTCTAGTTTCTGAAATTGTGTTTTACACCAATTCTAAGGGAAATTAACTATCTCTACTACATCTGTTCCACAAGTTGGAAAGCTTTTGGACAGCTTGTTAGGTATTTATGTGATACTGATTAGATCAAGTCAAACATGATAATTTAAACATATTTTGGAACTACTCTTACCAAATTAATAGTACATTGGTGGCAATTTGTCCAGTGGTGGGGAAATATGGAAGCCATTGTAATTCCTTTACTGGTTTACCCTTCCTCAGATAGATCAGTGTAATAGTAATGAAGCTTGCTAATTAAACTGATTTAGGAAAGCAAGGATCATGAATGTTATAAAATTCGGTCTGTGGAATAGCACAGCTCACCACTTAGTGAATAATGCACTAAGTCAGCTCATTAGAGTATATCCTCTTGTGGCACTGCTTTAATATATAAAATAATGCCAGTTTTAATATAACCTCTTCTGAACCAATCACTGATTCTTTAAGGACGGCACAGAGATTGCCAACCAGTGCTGTTTTCTCGCTATCCAGGCATGGTGTGCCTCAAGGTCTGCACTGCCTGGTGCCACCAGAATCCACATTCTGCCCACCAGTGTCAGGCTCCTTCACACTAGAGGGTTCTTGTCATTTAAGCCCTGGTGGAGTGCAGAGCTGACTGAAGATGGAGAACTAGGAGAGGTGGAGTCCAGCAATTACAGAGGCAAGACAATCATTGCAGGAGAAGAAATTAAAAGTCAGTCTAGAACAAGGAAGAGTGGTCAGGCTGGCAGACTAGTAATGTTCGGTGAGTACACCTCTTTGCACAACTGGTGAGACATTGGGCAGCTGCCACATCAGGAGCCTTTCTGCTAGTGTCTGTGACTAGTGTTATTATTTGTTATCAAAGTGTGAGAATTCTGTTCATGAAATGATATTATTTTGTTCTTCTAGTCAGAGAAGAGGAACTAGAGTTCTAATAGGGTTCCTTCCAACGGGGAACAGCTAAGTCTGTAAGAGGAGTGCGATCACCCAGTACTTATTGAGTTCAGTAAAAATGAATCTGCACAAGAAAATTGGGCACAGAATATATTTACTGAATTTGTAAACTGGAGGTTCGTATGTGGGGAGATGACTGTATTTGCTCTCTGATCTCTCAGTTCGTCTGCTGCCCTTCCTTCAGCACCTCTATCCCAGACTGATGTTCAAGGGAAGCATCTGTCCCTGCTGAGCGAGGAGCTCATGGCTGGGGACTCAGGCTGCCCTTGTAGTACAGTTTCTACAAACTGCAGACCACTTTTGTGTAGCTGCTGAACCTGGGATCTTCCTGTCGCGAATCTGAAACCGACTGAGCAGTAACGTTTAGCACATCGTTAACTACCCTTAAGAATCTTAAGCCTGATTGGAACATAAAACTTTTAGCCAAGTCTTCTATCGAGCGCCTAACTGGACTGCCTACCCTCATCGGCAACCTCCTTTATAAAACCCTCTCAACTTAATAAGCCTCTATTTATCATCTCCATGCTACAAGACAGGCTGTAGTGTATGTCCCTTTACTCGATATATTCTGGGATCTTGTTATCCACCTGATGTCCACTGCAGTCTCAGGAAGAGGAAGCAGTAGGGAATCTTTTCAGTGTTGGACCACAGTTCTGTCTCAAAGGGCTGGTGCAGCACTGATTTCCTTCCCCAGTGTTGGAGTAATAGCATTGTGAACAAAGTGAGCTGATAAAATATCCATATGAAAGATTACAGTACACAAAGAAATGGTGTAGGAAAACTCACAACAGATATTTTGAATTATCACTCTCTTAGCTGCTTGTCCAGTTGTGCTCTTACCTTCGGCCCCGGACCCCATTGCTTCCTGTAGAGATGATCCTTGGAGTTGTCAGCAGAAAGATTTTTCCTGGAATCTTGACTGGGCAGATTGTCATCTGAACAGGGACAAGGGTTCGACAGATGAGAGCACAGCTGACACCGATCAGCACTATTAAGACAGACTGGTCTGCTGTATTCGGTCTGAAAATATCCCTCACCAGCCGACGTCTTTTCCTGAAGGACCAGTACCAGCTGTGGGTTGTCAGTCAGCAGGTCAGAGAAGACGTCCTCATCGACTCCTGTCCCTGTGTCATCTGTCACCTCTACCTGAGTGCTGGGAGCCAAGGAGAATTTCTGTAGGACTGGAACAAAAAAAAAAGAGACAGACCAGTGACAATTGAGATTAGACAAATTCCTTCAATACATACAGAGTATAAAAATATCCACATCCATCCGTCTGCTTTCCAACTACTTTATCCAGTGCACAGTAGCAGAAGAGCTGGAGTCCATCAGAGAGAGCAACAGGCACAAGGTGTGGTATAACATCAGATCACTTTATTGGCCATATACAATTGTTTGTATTAGGAATTTGTCTTTTCACAGACCCCAGCTTGCTCTCCATGAGACACACAGACAGGGAGAGAAGCTGGGGGTCAGAGCGCAGGGTCGGCCATTTATACAGCACCCCTGGAGCAGTTGGGGTGAAGGGTCTTGCTCAGGGGCCCAACAGAGTAGGATTCCTCTGCCGGCCGCAGGACTCGAACCACAGAGCCACCGCACTGTATACACTGAACAGGATGCCATTCCAACACAGTGAGGCTGGTTCATGACTCAGAATTCCAGGACAGTGAAGAAGGGAAGACCAAGGCCAGGGTCAAGAGGCGAGTGAAAGTCCAAAGCCAGAAGACAAACTCAGTATCAAGCACCAGAAACACAGTCCAAAAGCCAAGGTCCGGAAACAGGCTGAAATCCAGAAAGCCAGGCAGAATCCAGCAAAGGTCAGATCAAGAGCTCAAAGAGGTGAAAACAATACTGAGCCCAGCTGGAACACAGAGCAGGGTTTAAATAGGTTTGGGGCGGGGAAGCGCGGTGATGGAGGGACACTGGGCAAGCAGGGATTGGCTACTGCCCTCTGCTTGATCTACGCCTCTGCTGCACAGATAAAGTAGGCACTAGAGGCTGGGGTGCCCTCTGGTGGCGGGATGTAACGGCGGGTGGTGAACTGTAACAATCACAGAGCTCACACAGACACACGCTCACACCAGGGCGAGTTTCCCAGCAGAAAATTAACCCACCTGCATGTCTTATTGCTGTGGGAGCACCCTGAGGAGACACATGAACACAGGGAAAACATACACGCTCCATGCTGATAGCACCCCTGGAATTAAACGCAGGAACCCAGGGCTGAAGGCAGCAATTTTAATTAACCATTGTGCCACCATGTGTTTCTGCTTGAAATGAACATCTTAACTTTCTTCTCACTTGTTTCTCACTGAAACTTGATTTTGTGTCCCTTGGGGATAGTTCATATTTAAACAAGATTATTTAAAACATGAATATCTTACCCTCAGAAATGAAACCTTGGTAGGAAAAGCTGTCAGCCTCTTTCTTCAGCTTCACGTACTTCATTTGATCTCTATATTTCACTTTCACAAGATTTGTAACTGGAAAAAAACAAAAAGTAAAGATTACTTTTCATTCACTATTTAGCTAAATCTATTTAAACACATTACTTTATTTTCTAAAACAAGATTGATAAT